CCATGGCCGGGGTCGCCGCCATCCTTGGCCTCGCGGTGCTGCTGCCTGTCGCCACCACCTTCCCCTGTGGAGCCCCGCACTCAGACAACACCACAACGTCAAAGGTAGGAAAGACCCCAGCCCCGTGGGGCTGCCCCACTCCTACACTGAGTTTGTGGGTGCTCTGCTAAGCCTCACCATCCCCTGGGAAAAGGGAAAACTTCCCTTGCTGTGTCCCACCCCTCCCCCCAGCACATCTGCGGAGGTGCCCTCTGTAAAACATCTGCATCAAGCAGGAAATGCTCCTTTTCCAAAAGACCTCATATTAACCAGAACTCAGAACGAGAGGGCTGACTGGATATTTTTTGGTGCAAATCCCCCCTGGCAGCTCAGGGTTGTCCCAGTCCTGCCCTCTCCCCCTGCCATCTCTTCGGGTGTTTGCACAGGTTTCATTTTCTTCCTGAAATCCCTTCCCCAGAGCTCTCGCTGCAAACCTGAAAGCTCTAACTCCCTGCCCCTCTCTCCCCACAGCTGCTGGGGATGTGGCTGTACGTGGCCGGGGCTGCCCAGTTTCCCCAGCACATCCTGGAGATGCTGCTCATCGACCACGGCCACCTCGACGTGGAGCCCCATGCCAGCGAGCAGGAGGTGCTGGTCACCCAGCGCATGGCCCTGTAAGGTGCAGCCCGCGGGTCTCTGCCCCAACCCACCCCAGCACAAGATCTGAGCACACTTTCAGACCGGTTTCTCTCGAGGAGAGAGTCTCTCCTGGCTGCTCCCTGCATCTTCGCCCATCCCTTCTCTTCCTCACCTCTTCTTCCGTTTAGTTATTTCAACAGTTCCCAGGTTTAGGCAGATTTTGCAGGGTGCAGAGGTCCTACAGGCATGGATGCTGCAGGATGCAGGCAAGAAGACTTCTCCAGAGGTCCCTGTGCTGTGGCTGGTACCTCTACAAGGCACCAAAAGCTGTTTCCCACAGGGTCAGGCTTTAAGGGGATGAATTGTTCTGTGCCGACACAGTCAGCGCTTTGCAGGTTCAGTTATTTTGGGGTGGAAAACATCCTACCACCAAAGATCGAGGCTGAGACCACAAGCTGCAGTAGAAGTCAGACAAAGGCACGGGAGAAATGGCTTAATTTTAACAGTGAGAGCAATTAACCCCACAGAGGAGCTGGCACGTGCCCCATGCACTGCGAGGGCCGAGTCCGGGGCTTTGGGGGTCCTTTCAAGCCCAGAGCGTCACCCCAACTCCTCTCTTTGTCTTTCTCCAGGGGGGACCAATGTCTCACCAACAATTCAACTTACTTCGAAATCGTTGCCGGTAACACCACGCTGGTGAAGGACGGTGAGCAGCACCGGCGGGGTTATCACCCACCCCGTTTTTTGGACAGGCTAAGACATACAAAGGGCCCGTGTCTATATCTCACATCATCTGATGTATTTTATTCCCCAGTCACTTTGTTTGTTTGAAGCCTCAGTGGTCTCCAAACAGCTCCCAAGGGCTGGGGCACCCCAGCTCCTGGGGTACCCTGGGGTTTGTGGCCCCACCATCGAGCACCAAACCCTCCCATGCTGGGAGCAAACCTGTTCCAATCCCTATAGGAGAAGACCACCTCACATTTAAAATTAATGACTTGGGGAAAGGAGATGGATGATCGCTGCCGCAGCACTAAAAATCTGAATATTGTGGCTGGTTCCCAACCC